AGATTTCCATGTTTCCATTGAAAGGAAATGCACTGAAACCCAAATCATTAATTCATTCCTTCTGTTCATTCACCTGTATTTTTTTCCAGCTTCCAAGCTCTTTTCTACTAAATAAATGAAGTGTTCCCTTATTTTTAGTATTTGTGATCCCAGATATTCATAACCTGAGGCTACCCAATAGCGTAACATTTCTTAGAAGTAACACATTTGGAGTTTACTTTGGTTTCTGCCTTTAATGATCTGAGTTCATATGTTGAAGTCCTTAACAGTAACCATCACAGTGAGAAACTTCCTCTTTCAAAAAGAAAAACAAATATTATCAAGGAATCAGACCTCTGAGAGAAACTACCCATCGCCACATGACATAAACCCATGACAGTTATCACCACTGTGGCTTTCTAAAAGGGGGAAACTCTCACAGCTGGAAAATCAAACACAGACCCTGCACAGATTTAGAAAAAAACTCAGTTCCTTTGCCATCCAGTCATTTGGGGCTAGCTGTGATTTCACAGGGCTGCCTTTGCTGCACGGATCCCCTTGGCAAAGGAGACAGCCTGTTTGGAGCTCATGGGCTTGTGGAATGGCTCCATTGGTGGGTAAAGCCACACAGCTCGCATCCGTATCCAGATTCTCCCTAGGGTAATCAGAGGTGCTGGAAATATGCACTGGTTCACACTTGAGCATAGCGTGTTCCCGATAGAAACCTCCCCAGATGTTGTTTCCAGATGACTTCCAGCCATCAATCTTCGCATCTGCAGTGTGCAACCACCCCCAAACCCCTCAGATGGAGGATAAAGAGTGGTACTGGGGCTACCCACAACCACCCATCTCGTTACACATCTCAGAACAGAGCCATCAGCGGGCGCGGGCAGGGCATGGGACCTGGCCACGGCTGGGCAGAGGCTTGGGGACCCATGCCGTGCCACAAAAGTGCTCTCCAGGGCCATCCTACCACAGCACAGCCACCGACAGCATCCATGTTGCTCCTTTCCTTACACAGCACCAGGAGAAACCTTGTCCACATCAGCCCTGAAGGAGCTTCTCAACATGTGCCACCATCTCAGCAAATCATCTGCTGGACCCCACTCCCCAAAATACCCTAGTGGAGAAGGAAACGAAAAGGTGAATTGTTGGAAGGGAAGTCAGACCCGGAGTAACGATGGAATCTCAATATGAGTATGGTCGTTCTCGTTTATTGCGCAGTTAGCAAAGCATATATAGGCAGAAAACAATAACACACACACACGTCAAATTGTGATTGGTAAAACACCGCTGTCCACACGCCTCCATCGCTACCGTGATTGGGACAGATCATCTGTCCATGCGGAGGGGCAGTGAATGGGGAGTTTTTAGCACCTGATGAGCATCAAAGAGCTGGCCAGCAAACAGGCTTTGATCCCCACGGCGTTTCAAATCTGACTCCCACCATGCCTGGTGCATGTCTGGCTGAAAAACCTTGAAAACCCTTTTACTAAACCACATGCAAAAGCCTCGAGATGGTTTGGGGTCATGGTAGTGGTTGGTCCTATTCATCAGAAAATGCCTGGACTCGGAGGAGAGCGCCGCTCCTCCTAATAGTGAGAGGCTCCTGAGCTGGTGTGAGAGCAGGAACTAAACCTCCGCAAAAGTCACAGGGGATTAAAAAAAAAGTCCTGGGTTAGGGAAGACCGTGCCCTATGGATCAATGGGAAGGGGGATGAATCTGCTGGCAGTGATCTAGCAGATCATGCAGGATCTCTCTCAGGAATCTCCCAGGTTCATGCTGGGAAACCTTGTTCCTGGGGATATGTTTACTGTGTCCCCGTGCTCATGGCCTGCAGCAGGGCATGCCCAGGAAGGCGTCAGCTGTGTGCAGCAGCCTGGCTCCTAATCATCACCCACATCCCATAAACAGCCCCCCCAAGAAGCCCCCCTGCCAGGGCTGTTGGTTTCTGGAAGTAGGGACTTTCTACTGTGGGGCTTTTCACACTGGACAGGAGTCATCAGCTAAAGCTGAGAAAAAAATAGAGAAGTCAACTAAAACCAGCGTCTTGCAAGGTGACGCTAAGTCAGGCTTTAAGTGATGCAGCGGTGGGTGTAGCTAAGGCTGGTGGGTCTGCTAGAAATCTAAGCTAGTGATTGATGAAACCTAAAAATATTCCCCTGGTCCTCTCCCTCAGGGGCTTGGTTGCTTCCTGGGTATTTTGCCTTTTGAAAGGTTTAGTGTGAGGAGTAATTGCCTGTAAAACACTAATGAGACCAAGTGTAATTGATGTCTGGGAATTGAGTTAAACCTCTTCAGTGCATCATCGCACCTCCCTCTCCCAGGAGGGGATTATCTGGCAGATGGAAACTGCATTCAGATGGACTGCTTGCTTCCCAAACACGCTGTTTTTCTCGTCAGAGCAGAACAGAAGATGATTGCAGTCTGCAGGATACCAATGTATGTAGTGCCAAAAAAATGCCCGAGTCCTCAGCCACGCTCCCAAGGTTTGCAGAAATAGCATCACACATCCTGGAGGCTTTCTGAGCTGACCCAACATTGAATGGCAAACACAAGCAGTGAAGCGGCAGGAGGAGCCCAAGCTCTGGGTCCTCCTGGGATCCATCATCTTGGGGTCGGGATGGTTTTTGATGATTCCCTGTGGACAGAAGGTAGGAAAGTGGACTGGGAATCCTTACGGTAAAAGCACAGGCTGTGCTCACAGCTGGCTGAAGAGCTTTTGTGCTAGGAAATGTTCTCTCTTCCTTGGACCAGCACAGCAGAGGACTTGTGCATGATGAAACCAGAAATGTTTATGGTCTTTTCTGTCTTTCAGAGGGCACTATAAGTACAGTTTGGACAGACTGCTTCCTAACTATACTTTTCTTGCCGTGCTGAGCAAAAAAAAAAAAAAAAAGGAAGACTGTGGTTTGCAGGGTGCTAAAACAAGGACTGACTCAAAAGTGCCTGCAAGCCCTGCATGGTGCTTTCAGAATTAACAAAAATAGCATCACATGTCTTTGAGGAGATCAGAATTGAAGCAGAAGCGGACAGAAAATGCAGTCCCAAATGGGTTTGTGAGCCTTTAGGAGCGGTGGCTTCTGCTGGCAAAGCTAACAGGGTGCTGCAGAGTGCCTGTGTTAAAGGAATATCAACTGCATCGCCGACAAGCCCCCGCCAGGCATGGAGGAGTGATGTGATTTGTCTGAGATCATGAGACATCTGCATTTGAGCTGGGAACAGAGCCCAGATCTTGTGAGCGTTGAAAACATTTGCTTTAACCCTGTAGCTTTTCTCTTTCGCTTAGTGGAAACTTTGAGTTGCTCCAGCTTCATTGCATTAGATCAACCTGCAACAAGACCAGAGTGGAACAGGTTACCCAGAGCGGTGGTGGATGCCCCATCCCTGGAAACGTTCAAGGCCAGGTTGGATGGGGCTCTGAGCAACCTGATCTGGTTGAAGGTGTTCCTGCCCATTGCAGGGGGGTTGGACTGGATGACCTCTAAAGGTCCTTTCCAACCCAAACCATTCTGTGGAAGCAAAGGCTGAGATGCTCCACCCTGACGCTCCGGCACTGACGAGGCGATGCCAGGTCTTCAGCTAACGAGAAGCAGCCACTAAATAATGTAGCAAGAAAAAAAATGTCATTTTTGCTGCTGAGCCAGAAAAAAAGACAACGCAAACCATCATACAAGAATGCCCGCGAGAGCTTAAAGCTCCCCACTGCCTTGCCCCCTGTGTGGCGCAGCACAGCTGGATGCTGCAGACTGTGTTGCATTTTCGGGTCATGCACTGAGGTAATTAATTACTAATTGGCTGGCAGGTAGCTGTGTCACTGTAAAGATGCATAGTTAAGTCGTTTTCTTCCCCAGTGCACATAAGGGTCAACTGCTGATGTATTTTTCTGACATAGTGGAAAAAGCTTGGCAGTGACACCATAACCTTCACCTCACCTTGAAGATATTAAAACCAGCAGACTTGGCTTTAATGGGAATGACTGGACTTTACTGGTCCTTTCCCCTTCACTCTCTCCCCTTGGTACCACTTAACTCAATGTGTTTATCCAGGATTTCTCAGCCTGTTGTCCCAAACAGCCACTGTAAATACACTCTTCGACAGACACCCATCTAAATTCATACCAGTTTCAATCATACCACATCTGACAACTCATTTTTTTTTTTTTTACACCACATGAGGTTTTGCTGGGAAACCAGAGAGCTGCCAGAGAGCTGATGCTTTGTGATTGTCAGGGACACGCAGGATGTGGTGACTCTCAGGCCGCACTTCTGACTCTGGAAGGAAGAATCATAGAATTGTCTGGGTTGGAAAAGACCTTTAAGATCATCAAGTCCAACCGTTCCCCTAACCCTGCCCATCCCACCACTAAACCCTGTCCCTAAGCACCTCATCTATCCTTCCTTTAAATACCTCCAGGG